GCGCAGTCCATCTCTTACGAAAACCATGTACAACCATACATGCGTACCAAAGAGGGAGGAACACTGTGCAATCTTTCCCTGTTATAAGTAGGTAAGAGTATGAGAAATGAATATCATGAATCACATCGTGTTCGCACGTGCAAGAAGCGTATGATTTACGCAACGGAATGGTTGATTTGGAAATACACAGACATCTTCCAAGACTACTGATTTTGTCAATTATGTTCACCCACAGTTGCGCCCCGGTGGGACTCCAGACCAATTACGAGCGTAGATTTGGGTGTGAGTACCACTCAGGTCAATCGTTTGTGCGAATGGAATAAATGGTTGACATGTCGTGTTATCTTCTCGATACGTCTCATTATCTACACTTTCATAACCTTAAAATTAGCATCAGACTGTCCAACTGTTCTTTGAAGTTTCCTTGTATTTATCCCTGTCATCTTTCTCGTTCGTGCACTTTCATCAGCCTTAGTCCTGCATTTATCTTCTGCTAGATATGCGCTCTATCATTGTCTGGGTCAGAACTTTGAAGCACCGCATGACAGTGGTGGTTCTTTGAAGGATCACTTATTCCGCGTACGAAACCATCCACTATCTTCCGGCACGGACCGATGGATCTTATCCCGGCTTGCGAACGCAGTCCAGCAATGTAACGACGGATTCAACAAGTTCCAGTTCCCATCGGCTACAACTGCGTGCTTCAACTTTTGGCTGTATGAACTCTGTGATGTTTACCTTGTAAGTATGAGCTAACAGGAAAATTGCTTGCTTCAAGTGGTGCGAATTGCTTATGAATATTCCTCCCAAGCTAGCTATTGGTCTAGTGGCTTTTGCAGTGTAATCTCGTAGCCTTATAAGAATCCTTTAATCACTAAGTCTGGTCTCTTGAAGCTGATGGACAAAGAGCGTACTAAATATTCTAAACCGATGGCCTCCGTCGAAAGAGCTGAATAACCAGAAGACCATTCGGCCTTTCACCCGGAGATTTTGCCGCCATATGGGCCAGATTATTCAGGCCCACCCATGTTTTCTTCGGCCTTGGAAACCGCGCACACAGTATTCACTTTACTAGAGCTGTAACACACTTATGCTCGAAGTATGAAACGAGTGGACTCCCGTATGCTGAACCTAGATAGTTTGGAAGAAAGTGGCATCGCAAATTATTTGGCACGTGTGTATTCCTCGGATGATTTGTACCCCTCACCCAAACGTACTTTCTGGTGGGAGCCGTTACAACTTTCCCTCCGTGTCTGAATACTGTTCATGCCCGATCTCTCCACCTGTGGTG